AACTTGTCGTAACTAAAAATACAAAAAAAAAAAAAGCAGGGTGTGGTGACATGTGCCAGTAGTCCCGGCTACCCAGGAGGCTGAGCCAGAAGAATCCCTTAAACCTGGGAGGCAGAGGTTGCAGTGAGCCAAGATCGTGCCACTGATCCAGCCTTGGCCATAGAGTGAGATTCTGTCTGAAAAATACACAAACAAACAAATAAATTCTCAAATGCATGGAAAAAGAGCAATTCCATGGCAGCAAGATTCTATAAAAAACCAAAAAGGAGGCAGCTCAGGTAGGCAGCCTGCCTCACCCACAGCTCACAAGGAAACCCACACTCCAATAGTTACACATTTTCAAGTTTAGGAACCACTTGGACCGTGGAGACAGAGGCCAGGCTGGCCCACTCCTAGGTACTGTGTGAGGGAAATGTGAGCAGCCAGAATATTACTTCTGGGACTTCCACACACACCCTGCTGTCCCCTCTCCACAGTGTGGACACACAGTCCTTCCACCAGGGTCTCAATGCCCACCAGAGACCACGCACTTACTGAGTCAGTGGAAGGTTCTGACCTATGTTGTCTTTTTGTCTGACACCAAATGTGTGGTGCTTGCTGAACACCAACCAATTCTCCAGCACTAAGCAGTTATGTAACCATTCAATTCAGAAACCACCCAGAGTTAGCAGAGACTCCACGAGGTCCTGGCTCACCCAACACAGCCCCACTCGACAGAGGCAAGTCAAAGCCCCAGTGGCCACCTGTACTTCTCAGCAACTGCATCTAGACCTGGGTCCTGTACAACACCTTCCTCAAGTTCCATAATTTGATAGAACTACCTACAGTTCTCTTACATTTACCCACTTACTATGAAGGATACCACTCAGGACCAGTCCAATCAAAGACATGGATAGAAAAAGAGTAAGGGGTGTGGAAAGGATATGGGGTGGGTGGGTCATCCTGAAAATGGCTGTGATTCATGAAATCCCCCATCCTTTGTGTTGTGCAAGAGCACCTTCCTCCAATGAAACACCCTTCCCATTATGACTTAGATGATGTCACGTTTGTTACCTATGACAAACCAGACACAGACTAGAAATTCCAGTGTTTACCTCACAAACCATTAGTTGAATAGTTTTCTCTTTAGTGATCAGTCAAAATGAAATATCTATTAACCAAAGCATGCTTCAGTTTCTCTCCTTCCTCCAGGTCCCTGAGCTTTTTTCTTTTTCTGAGACAGTCTTGTTCTGTAGCCCAGGCTGGAGTGCAGTACCATGATCTTGGCTCGCTGCAACTTCTGCCTCCCTGGTTCAAGTGATTCTCATGCCTCACTCTCCGGAGTAGTTGGTGTTACAGGTGTGTGCCACCATGCCCAGTTAATTTTTATATTTTTCATAGAGATGGTGATTCACCATGCTGGCCAGGGTGGTCTTGAACTCCTGACCTCAAGTGATCTGCCCGCCTCAGCCTCCCAAAAGTGCTGGGATTACAGATATGAGCCATCATGCCCAGTGGCCCCTGAATTTTTGACTGACCTCTTCTAAGCCTATATACAAGCACATTTTATGTATTTATTTAATATTTTTATTTTTACTTACAGGTTCAGTACCTAGACTTTTCTGTTATGACCTATTTTAATGACAAGCTGACTTCAACATCTAGAATTAAGTTATTTCTTACCTAAACCCACATTTGTTTCACTAGAAATGTCTAGGAAAAGCCCCATGACAAAACTGTCACTTGTGGAGGGCATCACTGACTACTGCATCTGCCTGTGGATCCCTAGCTTTCCAGGGCTCTGAGGTTCTCTCAGTATAAAGGGTTTCTCCCATGGTCAACATGAGTAGCTGGTACACCTGCAGTGGGGGCACCATGGGAAGAACCAAGTGAGCTTTTTTTCTTTTTTGGAGACAGAGTCTTGCTCTGTCACCCAAGCTGAAGTGCAACATCATGATCTCAGCACACTGCAACCTCCGCCTTGCAAGTTTAAGCTATTCTTGTGCCTCAGTCTCCCAAATGGCTGGGATTACAGGCATGAGCCACTATACCTGGTTACTTTTTGTATTTTTAGTAGAGATGGAGTTTTGCCATGTTGGCCTGGTTAATCTCAAACTCCCAACCTCAGATGATGCACCCACCTCGGCCTCCGAAAGTGCTGGGATTACAGATGTGAGTCACCCCACCTGGTGTGAGCTTTCAATGATCACTCTGTGTAGGATCAGGACTCAAACAGGCACCAATGTTGCTGACTTCCAAAATTAGCGGCCTTCCTGGCATATGAAGATCCTTTGGGACTGTGCTCCTGTATCCTCTTTGGGGTGCTCCTTGGGCTCTTTGTGAAGCATCAAGACACCCCTATATCTAGGCCGTCAGGCTCTCCAGTGTGTCCTGTTCATCACCCTCACCCTGCACTTTCATTGTCACTGTCATTGGCCATTCCAACATTGTGCTTGCATCCTGTGGAAAGTCACATTTGGGATTCTTTCTACTCTTTGGTGAAAAGTATCAGGGTGTATTTGGCCTTCAAGGGAGAAGGATGAGGTAGGGGTTGGATTCAGGTGCACCCAACTTTTTTTTTTTCCTCTTGAGATGGAGTCTCACTGTATCAACTAGGCTGGAGACTGCAATGGTGTGATCTCAGTTCACTGTTATCTTTGTCTCCAGGTTCAAGCCATTCTCCTGCCTCAACATCCTTATTACCTGGGATGACAGGCACACACCACGATGCCCAGCTAATTTTTGTATTTTTAGTAGAGACAGGGTTTCACCATGTTAGCCAGGCTTGTCTTGAACTCCTGACCTCAAGTGATCCACCCGCTTTGGACTAGCAAAGTGCTGGGATTACAGGTGTGAGCCACCATGCCTGGCCAGTTTTCACTGCCCTGTCTTCCCTGCTCTGAGTCACTTTGTGTGATCTGACAATCAATGATTCCACCCTTCACTGATGTGGATACATTATCTGGGACTGGGTATGTCACCTCCACACACAGACAGGGTTTGGTCAGTGGCCGATGCTGCATCCTGTGGTGCCTGGATTTTGAACTTAGGGAGTTTTAAATAAGCGTTTCTGAAGAGCAGCTTCATTGGCACCTTAAAGGAAGTGACTGAATTGGTCTATGCCATTGCATAATATATAAAAGAAACTTTTCCATGTTGCTGTTAACTTTACACTGCTGACATAAGCAGGCTGTTGACAAGTTAGCATCAACAGCACATTATCAGAGAAAGACAGGCTTGTATTTAGACAATTTATACAAATTTATTAGCCTCCTATGACTCAGTAAAGCAATTTGAAAAAATATAGCTTTATAAGGCATAAATGAATTCATGTTTTAACTAAAGTACTTTCTGATAAACAGTGCCCATACATTTTTGGAAATATTTTAGTCTTTAGAGCATAAGTAAGGCAAAAACAGGTCCAGGAGTCTACAGATGACCTCCCCTCACCACAAGGCCAAGTCTTTTTTTTTTTGGTTTTTTTGAGACACAGTTTTGCTCTTGTTGCCCAGCCTGGAGTGCAACAGTGTGACCTCAGCTCACTGCAACCTCTGCCTCCTGTATGCATGTGGTTCTCCTGTGTCAGCCTCCTGAAGAGCTAGGATTACAGGAGCATGCCACCACACCTTGCTAATTTTTGTATTTTTAGTAGAGATGGGGTTGGATCATATTGGTCAGAATGGTCTTGAACTCCTGACCTCAGCCTCCCAAAGTGCTGGGATTACAGGCGTGAGCCACCATGCCCAGCCAAGGCCAAGTATTTTACTATTGGAGAGACATGATGCTCCTCAGTGACCATGATGGATCAGGACAAAAACAAGGGCATTTTGAAACTATATTTCTAAGGAAATAATATATTTAATTAATATTTATTTTTACTTACAAGTTCAGTACCTAGACCTTTTTGTTATGACCTATTTTAATGACAAGCTGACTTCAAGGTTTAGAATTAAAAGTTATTTCTTACCTAAACCCACATTTGTACATAAAAATATATAGAGGAAAACATATTTCAAATCATAAGCATGGCCAAAAGTTTTCTCTTCTTACTAATGTGACTTGTAATTCTCATGCATCTCACAGTCATTTATGGCTTTTGGTCATCTTTATCACTATGGTATATTACACCTTTGCTGACAGCAGGTATGGCACTGTTGGTTTTGGGGAAGAAGGCACTCAGAGGTACATGAGATAACTATTGGTATTATGACTGAATGAAAAATAGGGTTGCAGCTGGGCACGATGGCTCATGTCTGTAATCCCAGCATTTTGGGAGGCCGAGGCGGGTGAATCATGAGTTCTGGAGTTCAAGACCAGCCTGGCCCATATGGTGAAATCCTGTCTCTACTAAAAAATACAAAAAATTAGCCTGGCGTGGTGGCACACGCCTGCAGTCCCAGCTACTCAGAAGGCTGAGGCAGGAGAATTGCTTGAACCCTGGAGGCAGAGGTTGCAGCTACCTGAGATCATGCTACTGCACTCTAGCCTGGGTGACAGAGTGAGATTTTTTTTTTAAAAAAAAAAAAGAAAGAAAAGAAAAGAAAGGAAAAAGAAAAATTAGGGTTGAGATAAAAATTTAAGTACATAAGCATCAAAAGTAAAATTTCTGAGGAAAAAGATACCTGGCATTTTATCCACATGGTTATACTGACTCACAATGTCCAAATAACAACAATTTTACAGTATAAGGTTGACCTAATACACGACACCAATGGGATATTTTATTATAGCTTTTTTTGTTTTTGAAACGGAGTCTCACTCTGTTGCCCAGGCTGGAGTGCAATGACACAATCTTGACTCACTGCAAGCTCTGCCTCCTGGGTTCATGCCATTCTCCTGCCTCAGCCTCCTGAGTAGCTGGGCACCTGCCACCACGCCCAGCTAATTTTTTGTATTTTTAGTAGAGACGGGGTTTCACCCTGTCAGCCAGGATGGTCTCGATCTCCTGACCTCGTGATCCACCCACCTTGGCCTCGCAAAGTGCTAGGATTACAGGCGTGAGCTACAGTGCCCAGCCTTACTATTATAGCTTAATTATTTAAAAATAACATTTGTTAGTACACAGTTATTATAAACAGTTAATTGTTTACATTCATTATCTGTATTCAAAGAATCTTGTCAGGTCTGAATGCTTTCTCACACTGCTTACATTCATTGGGTTTCTCTTGAGTGTGAGTCCTTCCATGCATTTAAAGGTGAGGCTGATCTGAAGGCTTTCCACATTGCTTACATTCACAGGGCTTCTCTCCAGTGTGAGTCCTTTCATGATATTGAAGGGAACTAGAAGAAATGAAGGCTTTTCTACACTGCATACACTCATAGGGTTTCTCTCCCATGTGAGTCCTTTCATGATATCAAAAAGAAGTGGAAGAAATAAAGGCTTTCGCACATTGCTTACATTGATAGGGTTTTCTCCCTAGAGTGAGTTCATGATATTCAAAAGAACTGGAAGTGAAAGCTTTGCCACATTGCTTGCCTTCATAGGATTTCCTTCCAGTGTGAGTCTTTTCACGTCTATGAAAGGAAATAGGCAAGCTGAATGCTTTCCTGTATTCTTTACATTCATAGGGTTTCTCTCCAGTGTGTGTTTTGCATGTATTCAAAGGATCTTGGCAGATGTGAATGCTTTCCCACAATGCTTACATTCATAGGGCTTCTCTCCTCTGTGCATCCTTTCATGTATTTGCAAAGAAGAGAAATTATGGAACACTTTTCCACATTCCTTACATTCATAGGGTTTCTCTCCAGTGTGTCCTTTTATGAATTCAAAGATTTTTGACAGACCTGAAGCCTTTCTCAGATTGCTAATATTCATAGGGTTTCTATCCAGTGTGAGTCCTACAATGATTTTGAAGGTGTGAGGTAAATCTGAAGGCTTTCCCACATTGCTTACACTCATAGGGGTTCTCTCCAGTGTGAGTCCTTTCATGATATCAAAAGGAAGTGAAAGAAACAAAGGCTTTACCACATTTCTTACACTCATAGCGTTTCTCTCCAGTGTAAGATTTTTCATGTATTTGAAATGACTTGGCAGAATAAAAGCCTTTCCTGCATATCTTACATTTATAAGGTGTTTCTACAGAGTGCATTTTTTTTTTATACATTACGTTCTAGGGTACATGTGCACAACCTGCAGGTTTGTTCCATATGTATACATGTGACATGTTGGTGTGCTGCACCCATTAACTCATCATTTACATTAGGTATATCTCCTAATGCTATCCCTCCCCCTTCCCCCACCCCACAACAGGCCCCATTGTGTGATGTTCCCCACCCTGTGTCCGAGTGTACTCATTGTTCAATTCCCACCTATGAGTGAGAACATGTGGAGTTTGGTTTTTGGTCCTTGTGATAGTTTGCTCAGAATGATGGTTTCCGAAACAGCTTCATCCATGTCCCTACAAAGGACATGAACTCATCCTTTTTTATGGCTGCATAGTATTCCATAGTGTATATGTGCCACATTTTCTTTATTCAGTCTATCATTGATGGACATTTGGGAAGGTTCCAAGTCTTTGCTATTGTGAACAGTGCCACAATAAACATACATGTGCATGTGTCTTTATAGCAGTATGATTTATAATCCTTTGGGTATATACCCAGTACTAGGATGGCTAGGCCAAATGGTATTTCTAGTTCTAGATCCTTGAGGAAT